ACTTTTGTTGGACCAGTGTTCTAGAGCTGCCGTTTTTCAAGAGAAATCAACAATCATATTTTATTGTGAGGTTGATTGATTTTAACTGCAAGAAAATCAATTTTTAGAAAACACTCTGTGCGCCAATCAAAATATCCCTGTGGACATCTTTGGACTTTTAGGGCACAAATGTGCAATCCAAATACCCTAATTCTTCATAAAACTAAAGTGAGAGTATATATTCAGAGAAGGTCCAGGAGATGGGAAAAACTAAACTGTTTTTTGCTACTCTCACACTAAACATAACACAGAGCAGGATGTGTGGGGTTTTTCTCCCACGCCGACTGATTCTCTGTACCAACTGAATGTCCTACAATGTAATTCAGCTCTGACACTGTCTACCTGGATAGTGAGACCCCACAGGTTAAGGGATCGGTTCCCATAATTCCTTCCTTGGATTTACATTTGCTAGAGTGGCTCGTAAAACTCAGGTTGACATTACTTACTATTGCTGATTTATTACAAAGGATATTTTAAAAGATACAAAGGGACAGCCAGATGAAGAGATACACAGGAGAGGTTTAGAAAGGGTTTCTGTCCCCATGGAGCTGAGGTGCACCATCCTCCTGGAATTTGGGTGTGTTCAGCAACCCAGGAGATGTTCTCCCGGCCCTGCCCTTTTAGGTTTTGATGGAGGCTTCTTTGCATAGGCATGGTTGATTAAGCCATTGGCCGTTGGTGATCAACTCAGCCTTCAGCCCTCTCTTCTCCCCAGGGGTCAGGGGGTGGGGCTGAAAGTTCCAACCCTCTAATCACTTGGTTGGCTCCCCTGGCATGTGAGGTGGCTCAAGCCTGTGATCCCAGCACTTTGAAAAGCCAAGGTGGGTGGATCGTGAGGTCAGGAGTTCGAGACCAGCCTGGCCAACATAGTGAAACCCCACCTCTACCAAAAATACAAAAATTGGCTGGATGTGGTGGCATGTGCCTGTAGTCCCAGCTACTCTGGAGATGGAGGCAGGAGAATCACCTGAGCCCAGGAGGTAGAGGTTGCAGTAAGCCGAGATCCCACCATTGCACTCCAGCCTGGCGACAGAGTGAGACTCTGTCTCAGAAAAAAAAAAAAAAAAAAAAAAAGGCAAAAAAAAAAACAAAACAAAAAACCAGAAAAGAAAACAGGATGAATGATCGGGAAGTCCAATATCAGCGCAATAAAATGTCACTATTCCTGCCTAATTTTTAGATGGAGTCACTTCTCAGACGTGACTGAAAAAGAAGGTCTTTGCTGTGAGTAAGCATGCTGAAGTCCCATGGCAGGTGTATGCACTAATTAGTTTCCAAGTTCGTTTCCAAAAAGCCTGTGGCTATTTGCTCAGGTAGTGCTGCACTGGTAAAATACTACACTGTGTAAAGGGGAATACCTCAACATTTTGAAGACTCTTGGACACAGGGTCTTGACATTGATATCTGGGGACCAAAAGCATTATTATGTCTCTCAGAATGATGGCATATGGGATCTAGGTAGTGAATGGAGTCTCAGCCAAGTCCAGCTCAACAAGGATCCACAAGCCCACTCAGTAGTCATTTCCCATTTTCCAAAATAATTAATTGGAATGCACACACTTTGAAGGAATTGATGCATTAAAACTGAAATTACGAGGAAAGTTAGGAAATGTTTTAAATGGAATAATAAAAATACAACATCAAATCATAAGATGCAGTGCGTAGAGCGGAATTTGTAGCTTTAAATGCTTATATTAGAAAGGAAGAAAAGTCATAAAATGGACAGATAAGGAAGTTGGTAGCATTCTCATATTGGTTTCTTGGCCTCTGGGTTAAGAGTTATTATAGGGAAAGGCCAACTGGAAGCCTGAGAAACTGTCCTACATCCTGGTCAAGAGAGTAAATGAATAAATAATGTTCCAAGATTGATATATTCCAGAGTTAATACCCCTATGCAAAGACTTAAAAAAGGTGGACGTGGTCATCCCCACCGTATTTCCATTTACTTCACCAGTTTTAATCTTTCAAAAACCAAGTCATTTCTGGTAGATAATGGTGGGCTACCATCAATGTAATCACATAGTAGCATCATTTGTGGTTGCAATGCCAGGTATACTTTTGCTAGAACACATTAACATAGTGTTGGATAAATGGTCTGCTGCCATCACTACGGTGAATGTATTCTTCCCATTATCAAGAATAAAGTTGAGAACCAGTTTTAATTTTTGTGGACTGAACAACTGTATGTATTTATGGTCTTTCATCTGGACTATGCTGTCTTTCCCTCTGTTGTAATACAGTCTGTATTACAGACTTGGATTATCTGGACATTGTTCAGAATTTCATATTGGTCTGTTGCATTAATGAGATGTTAACCAGAGAAAATGAGAAGTACATGGCGATATAGTTTGGCTGTGTCCCTACCCAAATCTCGCCTTGAATTGTAATAATTCCCACATGTCAATGGTGGGTCAGGTGGAGATAACCGAATCACGGGGACAGTTTTCCCCTTACTGTTATTGTGTTAGTGAGTGAGTCTCACAAAAGCTGATTTTTTTTTAATTTTTATTTTTTTGATCTGATGGTTTTATAAATGGGAGTTCCCCTACACAAGCCCTCTTGCCTGACCCCATGTAAGATGTGACTTTGCTTCCCCTTTGCCTTCTGCCATGATTGTGAGGCTTCTGTAGCCACGTGGAACTGCGAGTCCATTAAACCTCTTTCCTTTATAAATTACCCAGTCTCGAATATGTCTTTATTTTATTAGTGGCATGAGAACAGACTAATACGCATGGCAAATATATGGGAAAGCACATGAGTTTCAGGGTTAGAGATGAACTCTATTTATCTCCATTGGAGAGTGAAACTAATAAGGAAGAAGCATAGACAAGCAGAACCGGAAGGAAAAATGAGGAGGCAGATGAAGCCGGGAGGGAGAGGGAGTCCTTGAGTGTGCCTCGCCTCCTGTTACACTTTCCAATGATTTGAGTCAACGTGCTCTTACAAAAAGGACACATTCTAGTTTTTCTTCTGTATGGCACATGTCTCTTAGAGACTATACCACCTTCAAACAAGGTGGACAAACTGCCCTTTTCCCTGCTGTTCCCTGTTAGAGGGGAGAAAAAGTTAAGCATTCTTCCTATGCAGATTGCATGGCTTTCTTACCACAGACTAGGAGAAATCCCAGTACACAACTGGCTCTGCGATCTTATCATTGGCAAAAAATTGTGACCCCAGGTCAACCATTTTAACTAATAATGGTTGTTTTAGTAAGCAGTATACTTTATCCAAAAGTTTATAGCTTAAATAATTGAATAAATCAACTTATTTAATTACCTGAGTGATATAAAGTTTATGTTAGAGGATTCACCAGAAAAATACTACTTTTTTTTTTAAATACGGCAATCCTTTATTCACTCAGCACATTTGGTTTCTTTGCGTTTTCTTCAATTTTTTTTTTTTTTTTTTTGAGACGGAGTTTCGCTCTTGTTACCCAGGCTGGAGTGCAATGGCGCGATCTCGGCTCACCGCAACCTCCACCTCCTGGGTTCAGGCAATTCTCCTGCCTCAGCCTCCTGAGTAGCTGGGATTACAGGCACACGCCACCATGCCCAGCTAATTTTTTGTATTTTTAGTAGAGACGGGGTTTCACCATGTTGACCAGGATGGTCTCGATCTCTTGACCTCATGATCCACCCGCCTCGGCCTCCCAAAGTGCTGGGATTACAGGCGTGAGCCACCGCGCCCACGCGTTTTCTTCAATTTTACATTGCAGGTGTGGTTACCAAGAGCTGGATAACGAGTCTCTCAAACAAAATTTGGAATTGCGAGATATGTTGGAGTACCTTGGTTCTTGAGACAGTTGAATGCTTCTAGTTGATCTTGTTATATTAAAAAGTCACTCTCCACTAAAGTGGCCACTGTGTTTCTTTTGTGAAAAGGTCATTTGACTGACTTTTCCTCATAACTGCCACCCATGCAGTGTAAAAGCAGGAAATCCCTTTTTATAAAAGGTTTTATAAGTACAAGATGACATTTCACATTTTTTAGAAAAGAATCCTTCAGGGAACTATGTCCTAATAATCAATTATACGAACAAAGTTTTACGTACACAAAATTTCTGCAACTTTATAATAATGAAAATTAGAAATAACCTAAATAGTTAACAATATGGGAATGATTAAATAAACAGAGTTGCATCCATTATGTGGGAATATAATATAGCCATTAAAATTATGTTTTTGTAAAATTTTTAATGTCATAAGAAAATGTGGCAATTTTGCAATGAAAAAGCTCTAGTTATAAAACTATTTACAGTATGTTTCCAATTATGAAAAGAAAATATACAATACACACATAGGCATACATGGGAGTTGCTTTTTAAAGGTGGTTACTTCTGGGTTTTGATATTATCAGTAATCATTTTTGCTTTTTTATTCACTTCTGCATTTTTCAAGTTTTCTGTGATAAGTATGTTATTTTACAAGGACTATGAACATTTTCCTCTGATACACTGGTACTTAGAATATACTTGGGTATTTTAAATATGTGGGAACAGTATTACAGTGCTTCATCTTCTATGACTTTTTTGGAATACATATCATTTTGGTAACAAACTTGCATTCCTATTTTATACTTGTTACAACACTTTAATTAAACAGTTAATATTGTGATTAGAGCACTGTTTGCTTCAGAACCTAAACAAATACTGGCTTTGAAGTCTAGGTTCTATTTTCTAGAGGATTTAAAATTAGTATCCTTTTTATTTTTTTAAGTAAGGCATACTGCATACATACATTACGTGCATGCTTTCCAAAGAAAAATCATTCTAATTTACAGTTTTCATATGGAAGGAAAAAAATGGAATTATAGTGGTTTAAAAACGTCCATAGTGTCATGCATCACAAACATGCTGATAGCCATAAACATGTTTATTAAGTGAAATGTATCCTTTAAAAATAAAAAAGGGGAAGCCTGTATATAAATGAAGTTGTGGATTCAACTAGTCTATCAATACTTATTCAACTAATCTATCAATTCTTGTGGGGTCTGCAACAAATATTGTCATTGGTTAGTGTTTAAGTATACGAGTTGACTTTTCTCCTCGCTCACACCCCACCTTGCCCTGGCAATTGGATAGGGGGAGGCTGTTTATCCTCCAAGAGAGGACTGCTGGCTCTTATCTCAGTTTCTGTTTTAAACCACAGAGTGGTCATTGCTGTGAACTCCAGCCAAGATGGTGTGGTTGAGGGAGGAAGCTGAGCGGTCTGAGCCTTCTGTGGGGCTGCTGGGGTTCTCACTGCATTGGCAGCAGAGGATCTGCCTAAAGGTGGCGCTCATTTCTTTGTCGTGGTAGGAGTAAATGATGGGGTTCATGGCAGAGTTGAATTCAACAAGGAGAAGGAAGAATTTCTCATAGGGCAGCACGCTGCACTGTGGATAGCACACATCTAGAATTAACAAAACCAATCCAGAAGTCCAGCAGATGATAAAGGCCCCAAGCACAATGACCACGGTCTTCAGAAGACTCATCATGATATCCCGATTCCACTGGGGTCCAGAACTATGCTGAGACATTCTCATAGTCCTCTGACAAACATAGCCAAAGATGGGAGCACAGAGAACCACCATTACCACAAAGGTCACCAAGTTGAAAATGGCCCAGAAGACTAAGAGTTGCTGTAGAGGGGTGCCAATTGGAATAGTTTCCAGTATTACAGATACAGTTCCAGTCCACACTGGGTATAGCACCCATAACGATGGCCATAGTTCAGATGACCACAATGACCACCACCACCTGCCAGTTGCTCATCCGAGTGTGGAGCTGCATGTGGAAAACTGTGATATCATTTTCAACTTGGTGACCTTTGTGGTAATGGTGGTTCTCTGTGCTCACATCTTTGGCTATGTTTGTCAGAGGACTATGAGAATGTCTCAGCATAGTTCTGGACCCCAGTGGAATCGGGATATCATGATGAGTCTTCTGATTGCAATAGCCAGTAAGTTGGCCACAGATGCCATCAGGCTGTTATCAATGAGGCCCTGATGAAGGAGCCATGTGTAACTTTCAGTCTCTGGGTATTGGGTCCTGTGTTGAACATGAGATAGAAGTAGGCCAACCCAGCAAAGAAGTCTGCAGCAGCCAGATTAGCCATTAGGTGGTAAACAGGAAAATGGAAGTGGCGGTTGACATAGATTGCCACCATGACCAGTAGGTTGGCCAACATGATGGAAGATACAAACAGTGACTCCAAGTCTCATCACCAGCTTGCTGACTGTGTTCCCTTCTGTGGCAAGATGTTTCCACTTCTGTTATAAAAGAAGGCAATGGACTGGTTGTAGAAGCACTGTGGTTTGTTCATGGCTGTGAACTGGGGCTGTGAAATTACAGGGATGGAAGGAGAGGTGGCAGCCATGACCACTCTGTGTTTGTAGATGGTGAATGGGCCCCGGAACTACAGGAGACAAATTTTCTTGTTTGTGGATCAGAGCGAGGTCATGCTAGGAGGAACTGTGTACCTGATGCTGTAGGAGTGAGTTGTGAGAAGTCAGGTACTCACATAGGTAGATGGGGAGCCCTTTCTTTCCTATCACTCACAGGGAGACTGAAATCCATGCTGAAGGCCCACAATCCTAGGCAGAAGCTGTTCCCCTGGTGTGGCACCCCTGGAGCCCCTGACCTCTGCGCCTCCTCCTCCATTCATTGGCTCAACAGCCCGTGGTGGTGGCGGGGCAGGGCGGAGGTGGCCTCAGCCTCCCATTCATTATCTCAGAAAAATAATGCTCTTGAAATTAGATGCATAATGAGGATTTTACAGAGATTTCTTTTACATGCGTGAGCATTTGCTAATACTTACTTAAAAAATTTTTGCGGTTATAATTATTGTGGCTAATTTCCGTGGCACTAACTAGCAGTTAGAATAAAAAAAAGATTCTGTTTGTAACAGCAATAAGAAAGAGAAAATGTCTATAAAAATAACACTTAAATAAAATATGTATAACTTTAGGGAGAAAAATGATGAAATTTATCTGAGAGACTGAAAAGAATTTGAGTAAAGTAGACACATGAAATGTTTTTGAAGAGGAGCATGATTAATGTGGAAATGTCCATTCTTCCTAAAGTTTTAATGTAATTACAATAAAAATTAAAATGGGTTTCTTTTTGCCTTTGGAAATTGCCAAAAATTTGTTTTAGCATCACTTAGAAGAATAAACATGTGAAATAAAACAACATTAAGAAAATGACAAAAAAAATATAATGAGGCAGAAATAAGCTTACTGGATTGTAATGAAAATATTATAAAGCATAGCAATAATATCTGCACAGTACTGGCAGATAAGTAGATAAATAGATAATTCAGAAGAATTTGATACAAATAAAATGTAATACCTGATAAATGACATGAATAAGTAATAAAGGGTAGGATTATTTAATTATTACTTATAAACTAATTAGAAAATTGTTTAGAAATTACTAAATGCTCACCTATTTTCCGATGGATTAAAAGACTATTAAAAACAACAAAACACAAATAATGAATAGTCATCTGATCCAGAGATTGGACAGAATATTTAGTCCAAAGGCAATGAGAGAGAAGACTGATTGATTTGATTTCTTACAAAGAAAATTAAAAAATTCTTTTGAGTTAAAAATTTAAAACAAAACAATACAAAGTAAAAAACCAGTAACAAAGAAGGAATGTATTTTTAACAGCTCTCTAAGGGAATATCATGTTTAGTATATAAATAAATCATACAAATCAATAAAAATATATTGAGACTCAAGTTCAGTAAAAGAGAAAAAGTTGTAAACAATTCAGAGAATTACCCAAGAAACATTACAAATTTAACTCTTGAATGGTGACTCATCCCTGTAATCCCAGCACCTTGGGAAGCTGAGGCAGGAGGATCACTTGAGCCCAGGCGTTTGTGATCAACCTAGTCAAAATAGCGAGACCCCATCTCTACAAAAAAATGAAAAACTTAGCTGAGCATGGTGGCATGTGCCTGTAGTCCCAGCTGCTCAGGAGGCTGAGGCAGGAGAATAACCTAAGCCTGGGAGGTGCAGGCTGCAGTGAGCCCTGACTGCACCACTGCACTACAGCTTGGGTGCAAGAGTGAGACCTTATCCCCCATTAAAAAACAATCAGCTGAATCTAAAATAAAACAATGAAATGCTGTTTTAGGTATGCAATTATCAAACAGCAAATTTCTAATGCTTGAGCACACTTGTTTAAATTTTAAATTGTAGTTACATGCTTATATTACACTGTGATTGTATATTTTGAAAACTCTCAAACTGTTAATATTGTCTGATTTGGCATTTCCAGTTCTCAGAATCTATCCTAAGGAAATGATCCAAAATGCAGATTTACACAAAATATATTAATTACAGCATCATTCATAGCTGTGAAAAATAGAAACAATTTAAATGTTCACTGAACAGGAAATGATTAAGGTAAATTGTATTAGATCCATATCGAAGAGCCGTTTAAAATTATGCTTAGAACTTTTATTGTTTGTGTTACAATGTTAAATGAAATTATTCATATTTAAATATATATTTAGAATTAATATAAATGGTTAAATATATTCTGTTTATCTCCAAGTGCTGGGGGCATGTACACCCCTTGAGGAACTCACCATTTTCCCCCATCCTTCCACCTCCACACCCCATGTCAACTCTTTAAGCCTTCTCTATTTTCTTTTTTTTTGAGACAGAGTCTCACTCTGTCACCCAGGCTAGAGTGCAGTGGTGCGACCTTGGATTACTGCAGCCTCTGTCTCCCAGGTTTAAGAGATTCTCGGAGAGAGATCCAAGATGGCTGATCACTAGCAGCTCGGGATTGTAGCTCCCACTGAAAGTGCAGAGAACGAGAGGATGCCACACTTTCAGATCAATTTTTGTTGTTCATGCACCAGGAGATTCCCAGCGGGGGAGCCCCACATGTCGCCAGCGTGACTCTTGAGGCCGGTGAGGCGGTTTTGCCGCTGCCTTGGTGCAGTGGTTCTTGGTGCAGAGTCAGAAAAGCACCATCAATCTTAACACCGCTGTTTTGGCCGGAGCAGTGGGTTGCTCAGATTTTGCGCCGGGAATCAACAAGTTGGACGTCTATTCAGAAACCCAACTGTAAAGACGGTAATTATAAAGACCACAGATGGATAAATTTATAACGAAGGGAAGAAACCAGCCTAAAAAGGCTGAGAATACCCAAAATCAGAACACCTCTCCCTCTACAGGGAGATGTTCCTCATCAGCAATGGAACAAGGCCTGATGGAGAAATGGAACTGTGTTCCATTAGCAGAAGCAGGCTTTAAAAAGTGGATGATAAGACACTTCTGGGAATTAAAAGAACTTGTTCTAACCCAATGCAAAGAAACTAAGAACTTTGAAAAAAGGTTTGACAAAATGTTAACAATAACACACAATTTAGAGAGGAATATAAGTGAATTAATGGAGCTGAAAAACACAGCACGAGAACTTCGCGAACTATGCACAAGTTTTAATAGCCGAATTGATCAAGCAGAAGAAAAGATATCAGAGGTTGAAGACCAACTTAATGACATGAAACAAAAAGACAAGATTAGAGAAAAAAGGATAAAAAAGAACGAGCAAAGTCTCCAAGAAATATGGGACTATGTGAAAAGACCTAATTTACATTTGATAGGTGTACCTGAATGTGACGAAGAGAATCAATCCAAGCTGGAAAATACGCTTCAGGATATTATTCAGGAAAACTTTCCCAACCTAGCAAGGCAGGACAATATTCAACTCCAGGAAATACAGAGAACACCACAAAAATATTCCTCAAGAAGACCAACCTCAAGGCACATAATCGCCAGATTCACCAGTGTTGAAATGAAAGAGAAAATACTGAGGGCAGCCAGAGAGAAAGGTCAGGTTACCCATAAAGGGAAGCCCATCAGACTCACAGCAGATCTCTCAGCAGAAACCCTACAAGACAGAAGAGAGTGGGGGCCAATATTCAACATCCTTAAAGAAAAGAACTTTCAACCCAGAATTTTACATCCAGCCAAACTAAGCTTCATAAGCGAAGGAAAAATAAAATCTTTTGTGAACAAGCAAGCACTCAGAGATTTCATCACCACCAGGCCTGCTTTACAAGAGCTTCTGAAAGAACCACTACAAATAGAAAGGAAAAACCAGTATCAGCCTTTCTAAAAAGTACCAAAAAATAAAGAACATCAATATAATTAAGAAATTGCATCAACTAATGGGCAAAACAGCCAGCTAACATTAAATGACAGTATCAAACTCACATATATTGTTATTAATTCTAAATTTAAGTCGACTAAATCTCCCAATCCAAAGACACAGACAGGCAAAAAAAAGCCAAGACCCATTGGTATGCTACATCCAGGTCCATCTCACCTGCAAGGATACACAAAGACTCAAAACAAAGGGATGGAGAAAAATTTACCAACCAAATGGAGAGCAAAAATAAATAAACAGAAAGTAGGAGTTGCAATTTTTGCTGATAAAATAGACTTCAAAGCAACAAAGATCAAAAGAAGCAAAGAAGGATATTTCATAAAGATAAAAGGATCAATGTAACAAGAAGAGCTAAAGATCCTAACTATATACGCACCCAATACAGGAATACTCAGATATATAAGACTTATAAAGAGACTTGGAATCCCACACAATAATAGTGGGAGACTTCAACATTAATATTTGACAGATCAATGAGACAGAAAGTTAACATTGATATTCAGGACTTGAACTCAGATCTGGAACAAGTAGACTTAATTAACA